TTTATTTACACTACATCAGTAATTACAGAGCCGTTTTCCAATTTCAACCGTTTAAAAAATTTTTTTTAGTAAGAGTTTTACGGTAGCCTACTTGCAATACATTTTACATGTCATAATATAAGTGCTGAAGATTACAGGAGTTACAAGAGAGTAACAAACACATAGGAGACGGGGGGTGTAAGGATGATAGATGTCAGACAGGATAAAAAGGAGCAGACCATTTTGATTCTTTGCTTATCTATGTATGTATTGTCAGCAGGGAGAAGAGCCAACGCCTTACGTCTTGGTATCGTCAGACGCCCTACTCGACACTAGATGCAGTCGAACCTGCTCGAACGACAACTTGTCCAAGACAATCACCTGTACAAACGACCACATGCCCAAGACAATCACCTGTACAAATTTTAGTTTAGTAGTTTTAGTTTTAGTAGAGGTTTTACGGCGCTCGCATAAGGTCATATGAGCGCCAGAAGATTAGAGGTGTTACAAGAGAGTAACAAACATAAAAAGAAGAAGGGGAGATAAGGATGATAGATGTTCGATAGGAAAGAAAGAGCAAACCACACCAGAGCTCCCGCTAACCACCCACCCTGTACAAACGACCATATGTCCAAGACAATCACCTATAAAAACGACCACATGTCCAAAACAATCACCTGTACAAACGACCACATTCCAAGACAATCACCTGTACAAACGACCACTTGTCCAAGACAATCACCTGTACAAACGACCATATGCCCAAGACAATCACCTGTACAAACGACCATATGTCCAAGACAATCACCTGTACAAACGACCATATGCCACTTCCCCTTTGCTTTTTTCACTACAATATTATTGTTATGACATTGTTTAAGACGTTTACCTGTCTAAGACTACAACTTTTCCCATCGACATGGGTAGCAGACAGTAGCAGTCTTGGATCATTTTGACAGTGGCCTACTGGTACACTATTTTGAAGAGGGAAACAGCATTAACAACCCCCCCCCCCCCGAAAAACCAACCAACTTACCAAAACAAAACCAAAAAGCAGAAACAATAATAACAACAATAATAACAACAACAACAACAACAAAACAATCAACTAACCGATCGACCAACCAACCAACCAACCAACCAACCAACCAACCAACCAACCAACCAACCAACCAACCAACCAGCCAACTAACCTACCAACCAACCAACCAGCCAACCAACCGACCGACCAACCAACCAACCAACCAACCAACCAACCAACCAAACAAATAAACAAACAAACAAACAGATATACATACGTACAAACAACAAAAATCACTCACGTTCATATCACTTGCAGTCCCTCCTCCGGACCCAAGCTCAGAACCACCACCAGATGTCGCTTGCTGCTGCACACCACCTGACCCTAGAGGCAGAGGCAGCATCTGTCCTTGAACTTGCACTTGACCTTGAACCGGTGACCCTGGCCCACCTGCTGCCCTTTGTCTCTCTGGAAAGGTCATGAGGTTAACGCCCACCATAACATTGTACGTGTCGCCTTTTTGCGAGTTCAGTCTCTGTGGTCCCAGCAGCCCGGTCGACGTCTGTGGTATATTTCCGTATTGGTTGTTGTTGTTGTTGTTGTTGTAGTCGTTGTTGTTGTTGTTGTTGTTGTTGTCGTAGTTGCTGTTGTCGTAGTTGTTGTTGTTGTTGTATGCCAAATTTTGAGGCGCATAACCGCCCCCATCGTTAGCAGGGACCGGAAAACGCCCGCTATATTGATTAAGCTGTTGAAGGAAAGGTGAAGGTCGCCCAGATTGGCTTGAGTCAATCGTAGGCCACCGTTGTTGTTGGAAAGAACCAATCATCGGCAATCCTCCAGCTTGGCTGGAGCCAATCGTAGGCCACCGTTGTTGTTGGAAAGAACCAATCATCGGCAATCCTCCAGCTTGGTTTGAGCCAATCGTAGGCCATCGTTGTTGTTGTTGTTGTTGTTGTTGTTGGAAAGAACCAATCATCGGCAATCCACCAGCTTGGTTTGGACCAATCATTGACGGTTGGAACTGAATACCCTGAGGACCTTGGACTCCTTGAGGAGGCAGGCCCTGTGAAGAAGGAGGAGTCTGCCCAACACCCCCAGCCGCAGTAGGTGTGTTGAATGGAAACATGCCACCTGGTAACAATAATATTAATAATATGATTAATAGAGATTGTTTAAAAGTGGGTGGTTGGAGGGTGTTCTGGGGGGTGTGAATGTGTG